TTTGAATGGATCTCTTACCCACACACAATTTTGTAACATCATGAATTGGTCATTTTGAAAATATTGGTTCACTGAGTTATGGCAGATCTTCTCAATGTTGATACACGTCATTACACAATATTGAAACATTCCATTGGTTAACATCACCATCGATCTTATAAAAAAAGTTCTAAGTATTTGGAGGTTGTCAAGCTCAGGGTGGTGGATACAAGTCTTCCAAAATTAGAGTTTTCACTTGAGAGCTCAAATGTTATCATTGGCAACAAATGCTGTCAGTTGTTTTCCTTGAAGTGACAGGCTCACTTACTTCATTTTTGAGGAAATGTCTGCCAACCACCATAGCTTGACTATTAGTCACTCTTTTAAGAAAAAACAAAATTCCATTAAAAAGTGGCTAATTTATCTCATAGCTCCAACAACTGCAGAGGCACTTCTTCTTGAGACAACCATAGCATTTGTGTGTGCAGTAACAGCTGGCCCCCGAGACCTATGAGTGAGGCTACCCAAGACTAGCCAAGCCTGTTCCAGGTCAGCAGACCCTCCCTGCCAATCCATAACCTCATAAGAAAGAACAAATGATTATTGTTGTAAGCTACTACAATTTGGAATTGTTTGTTATGCAGCAATAGCTAACTGATGTATGTAGGGAAATGCAGCAAAGGACTTGACTGTGCAGTGGAAATAAAGTGTCCTAAGAAGGCATAATTCACTCACAGTACTCTCAAATTTCTGTGTTTCATACACTAAATCACTACTGCAGATGGTGGGATGTTTTCAATCTGTATGTTCAAATAATTTTCATTCAAAAGACTGATGAGTGACCTGAGTCCTTTCTAGAATGAATAGAGCAATAAAGAGAAATAGGAATCAAATAGCAAAAAAAGGAATTCTGCTGTGCTGTTCTAGACACAGCTGCCCTAATAGAGAAATGTGCAGTTTCTACTTTCCTTGCAGTTTTTCAGTTTAGAATTACTTTAAAATAAATCCCAATGAAAGCAGTAATCAATTATGTCAAGAAGAAAACAAAGTTTGATCTGAAAATACTAACAGAATCTAACATTTTAGAAATAAAGTACTGTGTCATGTCCTATGACAACATTGTATCAAATGGCTTAAAAATAAATCGCACAATCAACTCTTGAGTATCTGCATGTGTATTATCCTTTTTGCAGATTATTTGTGAAAAACATTTAATTGCAGAGTTTTATCTCTCTTCTCTTCAGTGTATTTTTCTACCACCTTTCTGACTACTATCAGTCATAGTAAGCTAAGGGGTCAGAAATGTAGTGAAATACAATAGTAATTCATTTTTACTGAATCCTGCAAGAACAAGGTATTAAATGTAAGCAAATTTCCAACATAGCCTAAAAGTCATTCAAGAATTGTTGCTTATAAAAAGGGGGTGTGAGGAAGGGGCTGTAAAATGTATTTTACATTTTCTTTCCTTATGAAGCTGAGTATGCTTTACTCCTTACCTTAAGTAAACCTTTATTGTACAGGTATTTTAATAGATGTTAAAAGGAAATAAAGGTGGCCCTAGCTGGGTACTCAGTGGTTAGAGCGCTGGCCCACAGACTGAAGGGTCACAGGTTGGATTCTGGTCAAGGGCAAGTACCTCAGAACACATGTGGGAGCAACCAATCTATGTGAGACCCATCGATGTTTCTTTCTCTCCATCTCTCCTCCTCCCTTCCACTCTCTCTAAAAATCAATGGAAAAAAATATCCTTAGGTGAGGATTAACAACAAAAAAGGTGAATCAAAACAGTATTACAAATTGCAATATTTCATCTTTTTATGGCTGAGTAATATTCCATTGTTTTGAGAGTATCATGCTAGTAAAATAAGTCAAATGAAGGACAAGAACCATATGATTTCACTCTATATGGAGTATAAAACAAAATGCAACAAATAAACTCACAGATACAGACAACAGAATGGCGGTTTCCAGAGGGGAAAGGGGCAGGGAGAGAATGAAGAGGGTAAAGGGAGTCAAATATATATATAGTGACAGAAGGAGACTAGTTTTGGGGTTGTGAACACACAATACTTGGAGTATGTAAGTGTTGTATTATAACATATTATAGCCCTGGCCCATGTGCTAAGTGGTTAGAGCATCTGCCAGAAGGACTTCAGGTTCAATTCTCAGTCAAGGGCACATACCTGGGTTGCAGTTTCGTTCTCCAGCCCCAATTGGTGTATATGTGGGTGTATGTGAGAGGCAACCAATGGATGTGTATCTCACATCAATGTTTCTCTCTCTCTCTCTCTCTCTCTCTCTTGTCTCTCTCTCTCCCTCTCCCCCCTTCATTCCAAAAAAAAGTTATATTAAAAAGTTGTATAATGTTATTAAGCAATGTTGCCCCAATAAATTTAATTAAAAATGAAAGAAAACACCCACAGGATTCCAACCTCAAGTGGTTTACAACTGAATGAGTGAGGATGGATGATAAGACATGTACATGTAAGGTCATAAGAATGGTAAAGAAAAGTGATATAAGAGTTTAAAGGAAATATTGAATCTATTATGCAATGGGACTAGGGTGAAGTGAGTGAAGCACTTGCCCCAGGTACAAAATTTAAGGGGGTACCAAAATTACAATAATCAAGATATGTAATGTTTTAATGTATAATTTTAAAAGTCAAAATTAATGCAGGTTTTAAGTAAATACTGGATCAGTAACAGTACCATGCAGAGCCATGTTGGAGTGTGAAGCAAGAGGAAAAGTCAATGAAAGACAGTTGGGGCTGGTGAGTGGTGAGTCCACTAACTAGGAAGTTACATCATTTTCTAAAATTAGTCTGTTGTGAAAAAACAGTGGCCTACTGCAAGAAATAATAACTTTTTAAAAATTTTGTTTTATTGCTTAAAGTATTACAAAGAGTATTACATATGTCTCCTTCCCCCCCCCCCCCCATCCTTGACATTCCCCTGGTCTCCCCTACCCCCAGGTGTCTTATGTCCATTGGTTATGCTTATATGCATGCATACAAGTCCTTCAGTTGATCTCTTACCCCCACTCCTGCCCCCCAACCCTCCCCAGCCTTTCCACTGTACTTTGACAGTCTGTTCGATGCTGCTCTGCCTCTGTATCTATTTTTGTTCAACAGTTTATAATGGTCTTTATTATCCATAAATGAGTGAGATCATGTGGTATTTTTCTTTCATTGACTGGCTTATTTCACTTAGCATAATGCTCTCCAGTTCCATCCATGCTGTTGCAAATGGTAAGAATTCCTTCTTTTTTACAGCAGCATAGTATTCCATTGTGTAGATGCACCAGTTTTCTAATCCATTCATCTGCTGATGGGCACTTAGGCTGTTTCCAGATCTTAGCTATGGTAAATTGTGCTGCTATGAACATAGGGATGCATATATCCTTTCAGATTGGTGTTTCTAGTTTCTTGGGATATATTCCTAGAAATGGGATCACTGGGTCAAATGGGAGTTCCATTTTTAACTTTTTGAGGAAACTCCATACTGTCTTCCATAGTGGCTGCACCAGTCTGCATTCCCACCAGCAGTGCACGAGTGTTCCCTTTTCTCCACATCCTCTCCAGCAATTGTCATTTGTTGATTTGTTGATGATAGCCATTCTGACAGGTGTGAGATGATACCTCATTGTTGTTTTGATTTGCATCTCTCTGATGATTTGTGACTGAGCATGTTTTCATACGTCTCTTGGCTTTCTGAATGTCCTCTTTTGAAAAGTGTCTATTTAGGTCCTTTGCCCATTTTTTGATTGGGTTGTTCGTCTTCCTTTTGTTAAGTTGTATGAGTTCCCTATAAATGTTGGAGATTAAACCTTACGGTGATACCATTGGCAAATATGTTCTCCCATGCAGTGGGCTTTCTTGTTGTTTTGTTGATGGTTTCTTTTGCTGTGCAGAAGCTTTTTATTTTGATGTAGTCCCACTTGTTTATTTTCTCTTTAGTTTCCAATCCCTAGGAGCAGTATCAGTGAAGAAATTGCTTCGGCATATATCTGAGATTTTGTTGCCTTTGGATTCCTCTAGTATTTTTATGGTTTCCCATCTTACATTTAAGTCCTTTATCCATTTTGAGTTTATTTTTGTGTATGGTATAAGTTGGTGGTCTAGTTTCATTTTTTTTTGCATGTATCTGTCCAATTTTCCCGAAACCATTTATTGAAGAGACTGTCTTGACTCCATTGTATGTTCTTGCCTCCATTGTCAAATAGTAATTGAGCATATTGGTTCGGGTTGATTTCTGGGTTCTCTATTCTATTCCATTGATCTATATGTCTGTACTTGTGCCAATACCAGGCAGTTCCTTCATCTTGAATTTTTTTGAATAGTCTGAGGAGGATAGGTTCTTCCTTGAATGTTTGGTAAAACTCCCCTGTGAAGCCATCTGGCCCTGGGCTTTTGTTTGCTGGAAGCTTTTTGATGACTGCTTCAATTTCTTCCATAGTTATTGGCCTATTGAGATTTTTAGATTCTTCCTGATTGAGTTTTGGAATGTTATATTTTTCTAGGAATATGTCCATTTCCTCCAGGTTGTCTAGTTTGTTGGAGTAGAGTTGTCCATAGTATTTTTTAACAATCATTTGTATTTCTGTGGGGTCTGTTGTTATTTCGCCTCTATCATTTCTGATTTTGTTTATTTGGATCCTCTCTCTTTGCTTCTTGGTGAGCCTGGCTATATAATAATTTTTATGATCATTGACTTCTTTCTACAATTTTGGGTGCCACACTCTGAGTGGAATACTACTATATTGCTAATAGGAGCAGATACTGGCCTTGGGCACTTTGTCTGCTAACCATTAGGATTTTTAGATGGAATCTAAAACCTGATACCACTCTTAAAGTTGAAAGTCAGAATACTGGGTCAGAATTGTACTGCTCTAATAATTACATTAGTGTGTTTTTTCTCTATACTTTCTGCTAGAGACAGCTCTCTCTAGGCAGCCTGAGGCATCCATCTGCCTTGGGGCAAATTAAGATTGTGAAACAAAAAACAAAAAAGAAAAGGAGAGTTCAGCCGAGACAGCAGCAGCAGCAGACTCAAGAATGAACAACCTGCCAGAAAACAGTAAATTGCCTGTGGAGAGTGGAGACAGCAGCACAGGCACACAAACGAATGGTCTGGACTTTCAGAAGCAGCCTGTGCCTGTTGGAGGAGCAATCTCAACAGCCCAGGCCCAGGCTTTCTTCAGACATCTCCACCAGGTCCAGCTCGCAGGAACAAGTTTACAGGCTGCTGCTCAGACTTTAAATGTACAGTCTAAATCTAATGAAGAATCGGGGGATTCCCAGCAGCCAAGCCAGCCTTCCCAGCAGCCTTCAGTGCAGGCAGCCATCCCGCAGACCCAGCTCATGCTGGCTGGAGGGCAGATAACCGGGCTTGCCGGAAGCCGGTCCATCCTTGCTGCTTGACAGTCGCTGCAGGAAAGAAACATCTGCATAGCATATGTTTCAAGGGACCTGGTTTATATAGCATACTGTTCTTAATATGTTTGCTCCCCTTAGCGCTATGTGTTTTAACCAAGGTCACCTCTCTGAGAAAGGTTGTTTCCTCAGGTAGGGATTTTTCCCTGAAGTTAGGGAGGGGATAAAACCCCTTAACTAAGTGCCAGGCGGGTAGTTAATCACTTTAACTACAAACAATCATGCTTAAGCTACATAATCTTTACTCCCTGGAATGGAGATAAGAAACGCCCTAACCTTTGCAATAGAAATTGACAGGATTAAAATCAACTGGTATAAATACAGATGTAACAAGACAATAAACAACAGAACTTGTCTGGAGATCCTGGCTACAGATCCTGGCTAGGCTGCTGATCAACTGAACGCTGTCTCCCTGTCATTCCTTCTTTGCCGACTCCGTCCACACCTTTGGGGACCCCTGGACCTGCTGGGGTTGGACCCCAACACGGGCTTACTTTGATGCTAGCCCAGCAGCAGTTGCTCCTGCAGCAGGCACAGGCACAGCTGTTGGCCGCTGCGGTACAGCAGCACTCCACCAGCCAACCGCACAGTGCTGCCGGGGCCACCATCTCTGCCTCCACCGCCACACCCATGACGCAGATCCCGCTGTCTCAGACCATACAGATCAAACAGGATCTGCAACAACTACAGCAACTTCAGCAGCAGAATCTCAACCTGCAACAGTTCGTGCTGGTACATCCAACCACCAACCTGCAGCCAGCACAGTTCATCATCGCACAGACGCCCCAGGGCCAGCAGGGTCTCCTGCAAGCGCAAAATCTTTTAACGCAACTACCTCAGCAAAGCCAAGCCAACCTCCTACAGTCGCAGCCAAGCATCACCCTCACTTCCCAGCCAGCAATCCCAACACGCACAATAGCTGCAACCCCAATTCAGACACTTCCACAGAACCAGGGAACACCAAAGCGAATTGACACTCCCAGCTTGGAGGAGCCCAGTGACCTTGAGGAGCTTGAGCAGTTTGCCAAGACCTTCAAACAAAGACGAATCCAACTTCGATTTACTCAGGGCAATGTTGGGCTTGCGATGGGTAAACTGTATGGAAATGACTTCAGCCAAACTACCATCTCTCGCTTTGAAGCCTTGAAACTCAGCTTTAAGAACATGTGCAAGTTAAAGCCACTTTTGGAGAAGTGGCTCAGTGATGCAGAGAACCTCTCGTCAGATTCAGCGCTCTCCAGCCCAAGTGCCCTCAATTCTCCAGGGCAGGGAATCGAGGGCTTGAACCGTAGGAGGAGGAAACGCACCAGCATAGAGACCAACATCCGTGTGGCCTTAGAGAAGAGTTTCCTGGAGAATCAAAAGCCTACCTCAGAAGAGATCACCATGATTGCTGAGCAGCTCAACATGGAGAGGGAGGTAATTCGAGTTTGGTTTTGTAACCGCCGCCAGAAGGAAAAAAAGGATCAACCCACCCAGCAGTGGTGGGACCAGCAGCTCGCCTATCAAAGCAATTTTCCCCAGCCCGACTTCCCTGGTGGCGACCACGCCAAGCCTTGTGACCAGCAGTGCAGCAACTACCCTCACAGTCAACCCCATCCTCCCTCTGACCAGCGCTGCAGTAACCAACCTCTCTGTTGCCGAGGTGCCTTACTCAGTCTCAACCCAGGGACCGACCATGGGCGGTGCTCTCAGCCCAGCTCTGATGAGCAATAGTACACTGGCAACCATTCAAGCTCCAGCGAGGCAGTGACCACTCCTGGGGAGTTGACGGGACCCCTGCCCCGTTTCTCCTGGTGGTTTCGCGATCTGGGTGGCTATTGTGTAACCCCACTGCCCCAGACGCCTGGGTAGCCAGTGGCCACCCCCCCCTCCGACTGCCCCCCCAAAATATTTCATAAGAGTCAGCTGATAACATAGAATGGGGACTTTGCATTTGGGGATTCGCTGATGCCTTCCAAGGCCTGAGGAGTCAGGGGACATAAGTGGTGCTGTCTCCTTAAAAGTGCCCTTCCTGTGACCCCTCCTGGGCCGCCCACAGGCTGTGGGCTTGGGAGAGGCTGTGTGGGTGACTGAATCAGAAGGAAATGCTAGTTTTTTTGTAGATGCATTTGTCTCCTGTAACTTTATATATATATATGTTAAACTTAACTGTAACTGTACAGTTCATTTCTGTTGTAAAACATCATTAAACCATTTTTCCAATTAAAAAAAAGAATAAAAAGAAAGTTATAATTTGCCTGTGACTTGGAAAATGGAATTTTCAAATATGCAGCAAGACTTATAAGCTCAGCTTTATAAAATAAAAAATAAAAAAGGAATCCCTCAGTCCCTTACCTCCTCCTTTAATTTATCTAGAAAGGAGCTGACTCAGATCAGAGAATGTTTTCCATAGTGAAGATCAGTATCTCGCCCACCTTTGGCCAAGGTCTAGGCAAGGAGCACAGGATATACAGGAAGTGAAAAGCGCACCTGCTGCTTCTCATACGAACAGATTTAGAAAGGAGACAAAGGGGAAGGAAATGAGTTCCTCTGAAAATGGTATGTTGGAGAGTTGAAGGAAATGATAAGACCATAGGGGATTTTCCCTAATTCAGTTTTAAGGTATGGGAGGCCATTGCCTCACAGGCTGCCCTGCCTTCAACTTCGGGGACAGCCCCATTAAAGTCAAAAGCATAGTAGGGCAGAGTTAGGCCCAGGGTTTAGTTTTTCTGCATCCAAGTAAGGTATGGACAGAACTCAAAAGTTCTCCCATGCTCCCAAGGGGAGCTAGAAAGGTAACTGAGATGAGAGCCAAAGGGCTTTCTTCCCCACATAGCAAAGACTATTGGTAAGCTGTCGAAGTCATGGAGAGGGAGGGTGTGCCATGTGAACTATGGTAATGCTAAGGAAACAGGTATGCATATACGTACACAGGCTATACAATGCATGGTCACAGGTAGAAGGATTCCAGGTCCTGACCAAGCCAGGAAACTGTACTCTCAGGTATATGAGCTGTCCCCTTTAGCAGCTTGTGTAATGCAGTTCATTCTCTTGGCCTACATGGTAAGATGTGACCATGCAGACAAAGAACAGTCTTACAAAATCAGGAGAGCCAGAAGACACCATGAGGTGGACACTATCAAAGCTCTGCCCAGATCCCCTTGGATCTATTTAGAGGTTCTGTGGGCACCAACCCTACCCCCCTCGTTTAAGTGTGCTTTGGCCTCCAATGCCTGCAACTGGGGCTCTTCATTGGAGATATGCCTTCAGGCTCCTGGAGCAGCTTCATGCATCTGCCACGTAGTGTCATGGGAGAGGGCCTTATGCAAAGATTGATGGGGGAGAAGGATGTATGACGGGAATAGAAAAGCCCAATCTCTTCACTTTAAACCCTCAAGTGAGACTACATTGGCTGCAGGAGAGACCCACTAACCCTGGTGGACCACCACATACTATTGAAGCCGACCTTGCTCTGTCTCTTCTCTATGTAAGTGAAGGGCTGTTTTACCCAGTGCTTGACTGTGCTGTGTTTTCCTTGGAGACTCCGATACCAAATGCAGTGGGCAGAAATGCTTAGAATCATCCCCTGGGATTGGGAACCAGTGCAGGTTACCTGCTCTACAACTCTCCTCCCTCATCGTTTTATGGGCTAGAGCAAGTCTCAAAAGCCATGCCTCTGTTCAACAAGATAGGAGTATATAGTTTTCTTGCAGGGAGGAGCTGTGGACTGAGGTTCAGAGACAACACACAAGTCCCTGGGATGTCTGGTAAAATCATGGTGCCCCTGTCTTTGGGGTTCAGGGTGGCAAAGTAGGTTAACAAAACAAGGTTTCAGCCAATGAGGAACATGGCAGGGGGCCATCATTGAAAGTGGGGTACAGGTTGCATGCTTAGCCACAGGACATGAATTAAAGAGTGGAAAGACCAAGGCAAGGGAAATAGTCCCAACATCCCCACAGTAGTTTCAGAAAAGAGGGAACTGAAGCAACTATGAAATCCAGTCTGAGTGGCGAGGGCGAGAAAGAGTCAAAGGTATACATATTCTGAGCTCTTTAGGAAACTGTATTGTAGTATCTTGTCGACTTGTAGAGCAGGTAACATGCACTGGTTACCAATCCCAGGGGATGACTACATCTCCCAGCATCCCTTTCCCTCTGCAAGTTCAGGCTAGGATTTGCCACAAGAGACATCGCCTATGAAATTTGGAAGGCAGAAGTGAAGCAGTAGCAACAGTTTTTTCGCCCCTGATGGTCAGGGTGCTGGACAGTGTGGCAGCTCAAGCACATTGTCACGGATCCACATAGGACAGCACTGACTCACAGTTCCTCCAACTCCCGCCAAATGTCTGTCTTCGGCTTCTCCCAGTGCTGTATCAAAGCAGGGCCCCTCCATGGCAAGAGGCACCGGCTTACCCTGCAGGACACCCACCGTACCAGGGTTGGAATTAGTGAGAAATGGATATTCATTTCAGTTCATCTTCACAGATTTCAGAGTGTCCTTGCTCTGGTCTTATTTACTATATTCTCCCAATTTCCACTGTCAGTCAAATGTCAATGAAATGACTAGGATATGTGAAGTTACTTAGGATGAAAGCAAGAAATGCACTGCTCATTTATGCCAGAGACCAAATATGTACAGATGTTGTCAAAGTATAAATATTACCACCACATGGCATTAGTTCACAGGACACTCAGGAGATCACCCTGAATCTGGAGAAGACTTCACAGACCAGTGGTCTAGAAGACACTGTATTAGGGCGTATATATGCTCTGAATTCTAGAACGACAGATTTCCTTTTCCCTTCTGATTTAATTAAGTCTCTCTTTAAGACAATCCTATTATGTGTGGATTTATTATAGCTGAGATTAGTCTTTAAAAAGAAGATAAACACAGAAGGCTATGCGGTCATTGAGAAAGAAAATCAATTTAATTTGTCATTATTCAGAATTGGGGTTTTACAGGAAAAACCCATAAATTCTGACTCTCTCATATTTCTATATTGTGAAACAGGTGATCATAATGCAGATTATGCAGATTATTTAGGTACTGCCTAGATGTAACTCAGCAATAGAGTATGAGCTCAGATCTTGTTAATAGATTACAGTAGAATTTTGAAACAAGGGAATACAGGTAAGTTTTTTCAGTTTTTTAGTCACTGGTCTTCCTTTATGCTGAATATATGTATGTAGGAGCCCACTAGAAATTCAGATGCAGAATTTCCTTTCATCTGATCATGTAGACGTGAATTAATGTAGATGATATGAACAGAGAAAGATAAAAAGATGTCATGTTGAATATTCAATAACCCATTACTCAAAGATAAAAGTTTTCTAATAGCCATTAAGAAGAAAATCAAAGAATATATAAATTTTAATTTAGCATAGCATTGCATCACATCATAGCTTGTGGGAGGCTTCCGGAGAATCTAGCAACAGATGGATTACTGGTCATTGACTAAGAATTTGCCAGTGCCAAAGGTAAAGAAAATTGGACTGCTCCTAAAAGATTTTAAATAAAAAAAGAAGTTAAATTCCCCATCGTAAAAACCTTATGGAAAGCTGTTACGAATTTAGGCACTACTGAATAAAGCTGCAGTTAAGAAAGCCAATTATTTTTATAGGGAAAATAAATTTTTCTATGATAATTCAGATAAAACTGGTAAGTGGATAACTGCCTTAATAAAAGAGAGAGAGAAAGCTCAACATAACAGCAATTTATACAAAACAAGGAGTGATAATGAGGAAAGAGATAAGAAATATCTTTAAGGCATATTATGAGAGTATATAAATCTAAGAACCTGGTAAGGATGGTAGATTTAGAAGTTTGGCGGGGAGGGATTGAAATCTTATATCTCTTCCTAAATAAAAACTTTCTTAAAGATGAAAGTGTCTGCCTACCTTGACTGTGTGCCTATGGGATTACCCCAAACTGTGGGGAGTTCTAACCAGGACCCAAAATTCCAGTTGATGCATTTCAATAATATGGAGAACTCAAACCCATTTTGAAATTACTATATTCTATTGAATTGCTCCTCAATCAATTAACTGATTCTGTGAAAAATCATTCACCTGCATAAGTCAGGACTCTGTGATTATAAATGACAAAAACTAACTAAGGTTGGCTTAAGCTAGTAGGCTAGGTTTGTTATGGCAGCTGGGAAAAGCACTGGGTTAGCACAGCAGGTGCTGAGCTTAAGGACGGGTGATCTGGATTTACCACCACCTGGATTTGCTTCCCTTTCTACTTGTCTCCAGTTTCTGATTGCTTCTGATGTCTCCAGCCACAGCCAGTGGGAGAGAATGAAGCCACACCAAGACAGTCCAGAATTAAAGTAATTAGAAGCAAGAGCGAGAACAAGAGGGAAAGAGTGTCTTTATGGCAATAGAGTTCCAGTTTCAAACTCTGAGATCCCCAGGACTGTGCCATGCAGGTTCCTGAAGCTTTTCCTCTGGTTCTGCTACCTGTTACAAGAGCCTTACACTAAAATAAAAAGACCCCCTTTGGGCTCAAGCTAGTTTGAGTTGAGTTTCTATCGCTTGTAACCAAAAGAGTCCACATTAATATAACTTACCTCTCTGAATAATGCTGGAGAACTGACTTCCTGGGAAAGCAAATGTGTGGGTAATTAAATTAACATTTGAGATTTGTTACAAAAAGAGGGAAGTCTTCTTTAAGTGGGGCTTCAGAAAAGGGACTGGTGCAAGTTATTTGTGAGGCAGGAAAGTGGAGAACAAAATTTATAGGGTTAAAGGAAAGAAGTAGAGTTAATGATATGAATGTGTTATATTAATCAGCAAAATTATTGCTATCCATGCTTAACAAGTAT